ATATAAAAACCACATATTAACTTGCTAGCGTATAAGTCACCAAAGTTTGTATATAAAGTTCAAATAAAACATTTCAAATATCAATTTTAAGCGATTTCAGAAAGTCAACAAGTCTCAAATTAGAATTATCTATGAATTTCAATGTTTGCAAACACATAACTTTTAATTAATCAGTAGAATCTTTATAATTTATAACTATATACGCCAGTTTCCTATTTCTTAAAAATCCTTTGATTTTATTGTCAGTCAAGTATTTCGCACGAAGCGATGTAAGTGCTATATGTGTGTGCATGTGTGTATGCATTTATGTATATATGTATGCCTTTATGTATATATATATATATACAGCATGCATGTTTGTTTTCTAATACACAAACGCAAGCCAAACTTACTTGTCGCTGTACAGCACATGTAAATAAATCAAATTTCTGCCAAGTGCTCTCCTCCTCGATTCTCAAGAATTCAAGTAGGCTCAGCAGTTTTTCATACTTAGCCAGTAGTGTAGTGCTTTTTGTTGTTGTTGTGTTTTTTTTATTGTGCTTTTTTTTTAATGTGTTTTTTTTTTATTGTGTTTTGCGTACATACATATGTACATACATACGTATGTCCATTCATAGATACATACGTATGTCCATACATACATACATACATAGGTACATAGATACATAGGTACATATATACATAGATACATACATACATATGTACATACATACATACACATATACATACATACATACATACACACATACATGCATACATACATATATACATACATATATACATACATACATACATACATACATACATACATACACACATACATACATACACATACATACACACATACATACACACATACATACATACACACATACATACATACACACATACATACATACATACATACATCCATACATACATACATCCATACATACATACATACATACATACATCCATACATACGCACATACATACATAGGTGTTCGTATGTATGTACGTATGTAGGTGTGCTATACACCCGTCAAAAGAGCTAATTTCCTTTCTTGGTTATCGAAATGACCTGCGTTTGGTATACCTAAGACAGCTGACAAGAACCCAAAGCCTCATTGCTAACTAGTTCGAAGGACATCAAAACTTAAGTGGTTTTTGTTTGTAACTATCAAAAGTCGTTTTATTGTTTATTTATTTACACAGAATTGATAAAGCAATTTGATTTCTATATATAAAACCAGTTGCATACAGCGCTCTGCATCTCGATTTCCAGCTAATGCTTTCGTTTTTTGCCCGCTTTGGGTTTGCCTCCACCCATTTTGGCTTTGCCTCCGCCAAACTTTTTGCTTGTATAGATTTTGCTATTCGAGCGACGCTTTTCCTCCCATTTCAGTTGCTTATCGGAGGATTTGTCCTTGTTGAAGAGCGCATTACTGGTGCCCTGTCCCTTGGATTTGCCCGTTTCCTCAAGCAGCGCTGAGAAATCATCCGCAGCAGCAAACAGCGAACTCATATCTAGGAATCGATTATATATTAGTATACATAGTTTGTAAGTTAAGCAAATAACTCATACGCACCGTTGCTGTGTTTCAGTTTTTGAGCGAAGTTGCGCTCATTCAAGGTGGCATCTTTGCGTGATTTCTTTGTTTTGGGTGGCGCATCGTCATCATCATCATCTTCATCCGCGTCAGGACTGTCGGGCGCCTCGCTTGCATCACTATCGTCATCCATAGATATGGAGCCAGCATCATCATCATCATCATCGTCGTCCTCATCGTTGTCATCCAAGGGCTCCAAATCAATTGAGCCCGTCTCATCGTCCGACTGATCGTCTGCTTCAGCGCCTGATAGATCATCTTCAGCATCATCGTCCCAATCGTCATCCATATCATCATCTTCTGTTTGCTTCTTCTTCTTTTGCTTCTTTTTGGACTTGTCCGCCTGCAGCTCACCGCCGAGCTCCTCTAGATAGTTTAGTTCTCCTTCGTCGTGGTCATCATCGCCGCCTTGTTTCAGCTTTTTGCCAAAGAAGTCATCCAAATAGGACTCAAACTCATCATCGTCGACTTCGCCCTCCTTCAAATCATCATCCACCGTTTCCGGTGCCTTTTCCTCTATTTTTGGCTGCTTTTTGCTCTGCTCCATCAGCTCTGCCTGTTTGCGCTTATGCTCCAGATAATTGAATATAAACATTTCATCCTCTGTGCAGGTGGTCTTGGTCAGCGACTTAACAGGCTTGCCACGTGCTCCGAATGCCGTGTAACGCTTGTGCGCAGCGCTGGCGGCGCCCTCCATTGCCTGCTGATGGTCCAGTTTCTTGGGATTCTTAAAAGCGAAACGCTCCAGGAAATGCGGCAGACCAAAGTCACGCAACGGATCGCCATAGTAATCGATGCGTTGCTCTATACGACGGGAAAGGTAACAGTTAAGTGAAGTCCAAACGGCATACAACGGTTGCTACTCACCCAGCAGTATATGCTCGGCAAAGACCTGCACCGTGGGATGATAATGTTGGCGCAGAAGCAGCAGCTCGTTGCGCAGCGCATAGCCGGCACCCGCAAAGGCGGGCACACGATGGTAGGGATCGTATTTGCAGGCGTCAATGTCGCGCACCTTGGACGACTCGGTGGCAACCAGATGGACATGGTGCCAGGAACTGCTGCCGGGTTCCTTCTCCTTTTTCACCGTCGCCTCCGTCTGCTTCTCATCCACATCCACATCCACATCCTTGTACACCTCCTCACCATCGCTGCCAAACTTGTCCAGATCGTCAGCAGCAGCTGCCGGCAGCAGTTTCTTAGCACTGGCCGCCATTGCCGTGTCCCCAATGCCAGCAACGAGCTCGCGGCGCATGCGGAGCAGCTTGTGCAGCACAATCAGACAGCCGGCAGCCATGTTGGGCGGCGCATAGAGCGCCAGCTGCAGCAGGCGCTTCACAAACGCCTGAGCCCGTGCTACATGCTTGTCCGTGTGGATGGCTCGATGGACAATGTGCAGCAGTTGGGCCGCTGTCTTGCCGCCAATGTTGATAAGATTCAGATCCAGCAGTTTAATGTACAACGCATTGTAGAAGCGATCCGATTTCTCGGTCTTCACTGTGACCAGCTGCAGCAGCAGGCCCAGCGTTTGAACCGAGACGCGTATGTCGGCCAGATGCACCAGACGATAGATGGTATCCTGCATCTCCTTGGTCAACAGCTCCGTGCTGCCCTTGGCCGGCTGTGCCTCGGTGATAGCCTTTTGCAGGCAACGCAGAATCGCCTGCATGGTGCGGTTGTTGACGGCACCCTTCTGCACCAGCACCTTGAACAGAGCAAAGCATATGTTGACCAGCTTGGTGCAGACCTCGGGACGACCCGATGGCGCTATGCTGGACAGAAAGCACAAAGCAAAGTGCTGGGCACGCTCGGAAATGTTGTTGCGGAAGAGCAGCTTCTCGGCCTCGGCGACAATGACGCCGCACATGTTGGGATGCCGTTGGGCCACCTCGCTTAGATGATGCAGCGCCTTGGATGCTATTTTGGCAATGGGATCGCCCAGCTTGTTGACTAGCATTGTGAGCAGCATTTGCTCCTTCTCGGGCGCATAGGCCAACAGTTTAGCAGCGGCCACAATGGCAGCCGTCTTATTGTGCTCCTGACCCGTTTGCAGGCCCTGCATTAGGTTCTTGAGATACTCGTGATACTGATCCTTGAGCTCGCTCTCAAAATACCAGTAGGCGTAGATGCGACGTGTTTGTTCCTTGTGCAGCTCCCGTTTCTTCAGATGCTTCCAGTCGGCGCCGCGCGTGTGTATGGCCAACAGCTTGCGCTGCGGCGGCAGCAGCACCTCCTGCCACAGATCCGTGAGCACGGCAATGACATCGTTGCTGCTCTTGTTTGATATCTTGCAGAAGGCAATCAGGTTGGAGAGTGCATCCAGATTGCCCAGCGGATTGCTGGTCACCAGCAAGGCGCCCGCATTGGCCCGATCCTTGGCAGTGCCTTTGTGCAGGGCAGTCTGCAGCCAGCGTGCATCAGTGGGATTGCCTTCGCGGGAATATAAAATGATTGTTAGAAGTTTGACACACTTTATCAACGATTAACCTACGCTTATTGAATGTTGTCTTCTCCGCTTCAAAGGACGATTTGCATAGATTGAACAGCTCCAGCTGCTCGTTTTCCTTCATGTCCAGCACCTCATCGGTGGAGGGATACTCCGTGTGCTGCATTTAAATCATATCAGATTAATAAGCATACATATATATATTCTGGGAAAGCTTACGTACCACTTGATACCATTTCTGCTGGGCATCGTTGTCGTCTGCTTGGAACTGTTGCCTGTTCCGCTTTTTTGTGGCAGTCTCCTCAGCTTCGTAGTCGCTCTCGTTCTCACTCTCCGTCACCTGCTGCTTCTCGGCGCCGTCGTCGTCGAACTTTATGCGCTGCGGCTTCTTTGCTGGGCCTCCTTCTGGGAGTTGGTTGCTCTTTTTTGCTGGCTGCTCTTTGGGCTTCTTAGTGAATCGCGCCTCCTTCTCCTCTACTTCTGCATTGCCATCGTCGGCAAACTTAATTCTCTGCGGCTGTTTCACCTGTCCGCTTCTGTTGGCCGCATTTTTATTATTTTGTGCCTTTTGGGCAGGCGGTTGTTTGTTGTGCTTCTCGTTTTTGGGCTTTGCCAAGGCTTCGCCATCATCGTTAAAAACAATCTTTTTATTTTTCAATGGTCCATTGATTTGCATGCCTGTAGCTACAGCTGCCGGCATATTTTTGGTTTCTTTAAAGCAACTTTAGCATTAAATAAAACTCACTAACAAATATTGAGCGCTCTGCACGTGTGCTTGGAAGTGACATTCACCACAAGGCGGCTACACACAGTGTGACCGCCGTTGCGACGCACAATGAGCCGCATGAAGTTGGCTGCGAAGTCCACATTAAGTTGACTTGTTAACGCTAGCATTTTGATGGCACTGGAATGATTGGCATTAAGGAAGTTAGTATATTTTTGTTTTTGAGATTCGGTCCCACTGCCGTCCAGTATTGATACATCAGCTTACGCAGAAAGCGGCTGTGTCGCACGGGTTTTACCAGCAGATTTTGTTTTAAAAATATAATTAAGCCTCGCGCTTTGTTTTGTTGTTTGCTGCTGCTGAACAACAAGCTGTAAACGTGACTCGAATAAAAGCTCTTCGTGCAGTACTTGTCAACGCAATAGCAGCTAAAGCTAAAGCTTCGTTTCGTGCATTCGCCCCTCATTTTTTTTTTTACTATCTTCATTTTGTGCTGTCTTTCGTGCGCGCATTTCCATGGAAAACGTTAATTTTTGTTTAATTTATGCGAAATTACACAAAGCTAATGTGAGGAATATGTAACAAAATAAACGCTGGCACGCACACAACCAACAGCAGCAACAACAACTATCAAAAACAAGGGGTAAAAACTGTAGAAAATTTGTGCAAAAAACTGTGACGACAGCAGCAGCAGCAGCGCGGGGCACGGGCAAATCGTCTGTTGAAAGAGTGCATTAGTGTCTGTGCAGTGTGTGTGTGCGTGTGTGGGGGCCCAGCTAAATTAATATTAAGCGGCCTCCTCTTGCTCCTCGATTCGCCCCGGTTATGACGACGATGATGGCCAATTTCCATGTACAACGTTGGCGCTTCCAGAGCCAGCTGCTCTTTCTGCGAGTGTAAACAAAGCAACACACATACACTCGCACATACGCGCACGCATACAAACGCACCGAACACAATACAAAACGACGTAGACGTCGACATCGACATCGACGTTGACGTCCTTCACCTTGCGCCTGCTGCGGCTGTCCAAGCTGTGCACACGTATTGAGTTTCAGTTTCATCTTCACAACCTGTTCACCAGCCAGACAGGAAGTTTCGCAAAGTGCAGCAGCCGACAACAACAACAACAACACAAACGACGACGACAACAACGGAAGCGTCAACGCTTCGCTGAGCCATTGCCTGTGACTTTATTCGGCCAGCGGCTGCAGCTGTTCCCAAAAACCAAAACCGCTCGCCAGAAGCTCTCACTCGGGTAAGCGCCCCTTTATTGGGTGTTCTTGTTATCAATCTGCTGCGAATTCGCACAACTGTGAGCCTTTTGTATCCTTCTGTGGTCGCAACTGTTCTAATTTTGGGTGGTGGATGATTTTCACCACAGATAACAGTGGTTGTTCGAAAATGCGAACACCTGGGATCTTAATTAATAAAAAATAATTTTCGTATCGCATCTTTTATTAAGAAGAAATAATAGTAGTAATAATTATTTAAAGGGACTAAAAATTGGATAAAAATACATTTTCGGCTTTTCTGATTTCCAAATGAAGATGTTAGAGTAAATTTATAAGTTCTCTCATTTCTGGAATATCTGTTTTCCAAGCGACTTTTGTAGTTTTAATATCAGTTTGTGTCGTTGTTCGCCCGCATCCGCTTTGCAACACTAATTGTTTCCGTCTAAATAATTGCTCAATAGTTTAGTTCGCTAAGCGTTATTAGCTCAAGCTTTTTGCAAAGCTTATCGCTGGAATTGATCTTAGTCAAGCTCTAAAAATGTGGGCTGCGCTCATTTCTAAGCGAGCACAAACAATCACAGAAACTCGTTGTTCCGCAGCTCCCCTCCGGCTCTTATCGCTTACAAATGCAACTTTAGCACGCGTCAAGAATTCTTTTAACTCTCGTTGCAGTCGCTGCTACTTTGACGTCATGCGTGCTGTTGATGTTGCAGCTGCGCGCTCTGCTCTCTCTCTCTTTTGCTCTCGCTCTCTTCCTCACATACACACACGCGCACAGGCACTGCGTGGCCCACTTGCATGCAGCAGCGCAGTCGCTGTCGCAGTCGCAGTCTGCGTCGCCTGCGCTGTTACCGCTGCTTATGGCTGACGTAATGCTGTTGCTATTGATAATAAAGCAGCGACTGGTGGGCAATTTTAATTTTATGCTGACCATAAATTCTCATATGGCACTTTCGCTAACTAAGTACTTTAAGGCAATTATGTCTCGACTTTATGGGTTCAAGTTCGCCGCGGCTTTTCGAAAAAACTGGGCGTAGCAACAAGTTTGAAAGCGAACCGCAACCCCCTTTAAACATGTTCGAACTCAAAGCTAGACACAATTCAATGCTTTCCTCTTTTATTTTATTTTTTTTGTTGCCGAGAAAATGTAACACAACAGACGTGAGCGGCATGCAAATCAAATTTCCCAAATTGTCGTGAGCGTGGGAAGTCCCCGTCTAAATTCGAGGCAAAAAACAAACTTCAATTTGTTGTAGGCCACCCCCCATCCCCCCAAAGAAAAGGGCTATTCTCAACTTAAAAACGATGCAAACATATTGTGAAAAATTGCATTTCTTAAGCAACTTCAGAGAGCAGCAAGAAAAGGAGAATGGATAGTCAAATACTTCAATTATATTCAAAAAGATATACTGAGTCAAAGCATGATTCATTAAAAGACTTGGAATACTTTTCTACGCAGTGTGAGAAAAGTACTCGAAGCACCCAGGAAAAGGTTTCCAGATCAAAAAATATATATTCTGAGCGAAATATTTTTTATGTCAAATCACAGGATTAATCGAAACACACATTTTAAAAGGTATTTGTCCTCTGTTAAATCGCGATTTTTATTATTTGGTTAAAAAATCGTTTGCATAAAAAGACAGCTGTTTTATTTCTGTTAAATTATTTAAGATTGTCTTCAAATTTAATTGTTTTACTTGATTTATTTGCACCTGGCAGCTGACACAATAATGGGTTCACCTGCGGGTGGCGATGGCAGCGCCAGCGAGACAGCCTGGCTGGAGGATTTGCTGCGTGAGGTGCAGCTGGAACAGTTCCTGGAGCGCATACGCGATGATCTGCAGGTGACGCGCTTGGCGCACTTCGACTACGTGCTGCCCGATGATCTGGAGCGCTGTGGCCTGGGCAAGCCGGCCATAAGACGTCTGATGGAGGCGGTGCGCAAGAAGAAGGCGCATCAGTGGCGCAAGAATATACTCTCCAAGCTGATTGGCGGCGGCAAGCAGCCCTCGTCCAAGAAGCAGCAGCAACAGCAACAGCAGCAGCAGCAGCAGCATATGCAGCCGGGCGCGTTGACGTGCCTGATACATGAGAAGGACATAACGTTGGGCCTGAAGCTGGGCGATGGCTCCTTTGGCGTGGTGCGGCGCGGCGAGTGGAGCGCCTCGCCGGCGGGCCAGGTGCTGCAGGTGGCCGTCAAGGTGCTCAAGTCGGACAATCTGACACAGCCGGGCATCATCGATGACTTCTTTCGCGAGGTGCAGGCCATGCACGCCTTGGATCACTCGAATCTGGTGCGTTTGTATGGCGTGGTGCTATCCCAGCCCATGATGATGATCACGGAGCTGGCGGAGCGCGGCTCGCTGCTGGACACGCTGCGCAAGCAATGCCGCCACACATCGCTGACCCACATCTGGAACTGGTCCGTGCAGATTGTCACTGGCATGGCCTATCTGGAGCAGAAGCGCTTTCTGCATCGCGATCTCGCCTGTCGCAATGTGCTCTTGGCCGCCGGCAACAAGATCAAGATTGGTGACTTTGGTCTGATGCGTGCGCTGCCCCAGGAGGACGACTGCTATGTCATGTCCGAGCACAAGAAGGTGCCGTTTCCGTGGTGTGCGCCCGAGTCGTTACCCGAGTCGTTACGTTTCCGTCAGTTCTCGCACGCCTCGGACACCTGGATGTTTGGCGTTACGCTCTGGGAGATGTTCAGCTTTGGCGAGGATCCGTGGGTGGGCCTCAATGGCTCCCAGATATTGCGCAAAATCGATCGCGAGGGCGAGCGACTGCATCAGCCGGACGCGTGCCCGCCAGATGTGTATGCCATGATGCTGCAGTGCTGGGACAAGACGCCCGCCGAACGACCCACGTTTGCGGCACTCAAGTAAGATTCGCTCTTTGATATACACGAGACTCGTTGCTAATGCTTTCAATATACTCCACGTCTAGGGAGTATCTGGCCAGCATGTCGCCGCCGGTGATGCGCGCCACGCGCAGCTATCATGACGCCAAGGGCCTGCAGCTGGAGCCGGGCGACATCATCGCTATCATCGATGGCCGCACGGAGCTGAAGCTGATCAAGGGCCAAAACCAGCGCACCTACGACATTGGCGTCTTTCCGCGTGCGCTGCTGGAGCAGCGACGTCTCGGCGATGTCCAACTGCGAGGCAATGCGGCGCCTGGCTCGCCCTTTGGCTTCTGCTGGGGCGCTGCTGGCGCTGCGCAGGCCAACGGCGAAGAGCGACAGCGCAAGTGCGCCTCACTGACGCCACAGGCCGCACAGTCGCCGCAGGGTCATGCCAAGGAGCGCAAGTCCATATCCAGCAAGCAGTTCTCCTACAACAAGCTCGTCAACGATTGCGGCGGCCTGCAGCGACGCAATGCGGTCAAGCAGAAGATCTCAGCAAGAGGTCCGAACCGACCACCGCCGCCGCACCAACAGCAGCAGCAGCAGCAGCAGCAGGAGGGCATACTGATCGACATTTCGCCGGAGATGCGACCGACGGCAGCTCTGGCCGCTGGCGACAGCGCCTCGCTGCAGCTGGACAACTCATTTTGCCTGCTGGATGCGCCCATTGATGTGCCCACATTTGCTGAGGCTGCCGCTGGCACAGCCTATTCCTCGGGCCCAAACACGCCCACATACTTCAACGAGCAGCCGCAGTTTGATTTTGAGTCGACGACAGGCGCCTCGCCGGGACGCCTGCAGCCGCCGCCCTATCAAATGCCGCCCACCTACTCCAACACCATGGAGTTTGCCCAGCAGCTGCAGAAGCGCGAGCAGCAGACGCCTGTGCGGGATCCGTTCGATACAAGTAGCCTGGATGCCAGCGCCGGCGCCCTCATGCTCTACTCGAATGCGCCGGCTCCAGAGCCTGTTGTTGTTGCGCCCGTTTATGGCAGTCCAGCTGCACGCAAGAGTCTCTTTGGCGCTGGCGCTGGCCTGGCCAACGGGCATGCCAACAAGGAGAACATACCCGCTTTGGAATCGGCCGCCATGCAGTACAACCTGAGCAATCTTACGCTGGAGCGCCACGAGGTGACAACTGTGCAGCAGCAGCAGCAGTCGTCACAGCCAGCATCGGAGAGCGTGCTGCTGGACAAATCCTTTATAGCTGAACTGGAGAAGGACATGTATTGCGGCAGCAACAAGGCGCAGGAGGATTATCAACGCAACTCGGCGCAGATGTATGCCAACAAGGAGATTGTCTACAAACAGAATCTTACGCCCCTCAAGAATGCAACTGGCAGCGGCAATCTCTCGAACCACTCCAGTCCCACATCCAACGGCAGCCAGGCCTCGCCCACGCCCACGCCCAAACAGAATAATGTGGAGACCGCTGCAGCCGCAGTAGCAGGAGGAGCTGTCAGCACGCAGAGTGTCGTGAATCGCATTTGGTATGAGCGTGTGGCAGCCACGTCCTCAGAGTACTATGCCCAGCCGCCGCCAGAGTCGGCGGAGCAACTGTATCAAAATCAGTCGCAGCAGCCGGAAACGCATCACTCGTTTGTGGCCATATCCAATCGCGTGGTGGCGCCCAAGAGCAGCGTCTACGCTTCCAATGCCTCGCTGTACGGCAGCGTGGCGGCCACCGGCGGCGAACGCTATGATCAGGTGGCCGCCAGCATGGCCGGTTCCGCCTACTATGGTCAGGTGCCCAATGGCAGCGGTACGGCCATATACGATGAGGTCACCCTCGACGATTATCTGCGCCCGCATCGGCCGGCACCGTTGGCCCCGCCGCCACTTTCGGCACAACAAATCCAGCGGCGTCTGGACAAGATGCGTCAGCAGCAACAGCAACAGCTCGAGGGCGCCCATCAGCTGTATGCACCGGTGCCGGCGGAGGCGCAGCGCGAGCAGGAGAAACTGCAGCAGCTGATGCTGGAGCTGGGCAGCGCCGCGGTGGAGCAGGATGTGCGCAATGCACTGCGCGCCGCCAGCGGCGATGTGCAGCTGGCTCAGCGCCACTACAAAATCGATCAGCTGACCCGGCTGGGCGTTGCCGGCAGATCGCAGTGCGAGCAGGCGCTGCATCAGACCGGCTGGAGCTTGGAAATGGCCGCAGAGCTGCTGCTGCAGACGGCGGCGGGTTAAATGCAGCCAATTGGCACAATTCTTTAGTTTAGCCAGATATTTGGATTAGTTTTGTAATCGGGCCGTTGCTGCCAGCCGCCGTGTTTTTAGTTTTTAGCCCGATCTAATTTTATTGCCCAAACGAAAAAGTCTCGAATCTATGCGAAATACTCGACTAGAATGCATGAATTTCAGAACAGAAACAAAAGTCCAATGACTGTACTATGTATTAGCACACAAGCATATTATTTTATGTTTAAGCTTAAGCAACGATTTGAAATGAACTTTTTGTAATTGTTGTTATTTGCATTACTGTATATAATTTAATGCAAAATTATTTGCAGAAAAATACGCAACTTCACAATTAATGATGCTAGCTGCAATAGGCGAGCAAAAACGCCAATGTATGGCCGCTATTTAGTTAGTTATTAAATCAATAAATTATATGTAATTGTTACAAAGTTTAATACGTTTCCTCTTTGTGCAAAGTAATAGCGCGATAATTAATTCGAAAATAACGATTTATTTCCATTTACTCGATACTTTTAATTTCGGACTAATCGTTACTCATCGATAACACATTTCGTCGATTGTAACATCGGTGTATTTATAGTATTTTTGTTATATCGCAGTACGGTCACACTGATGAGCTTTGTTTTAGTTGCAATCGAATCGGCGAAGGTAAAGGTACGCTTGGTCCGCATGTTGCTTGTTTTTGCGAGAAAAAAAAAACAACAATTCAATTATGTTCGTGTGTGTGTGTCTGCGAGTGCTTGTATCGCCTAAATTTATGACGCATACTAAGTGCAAGCGCATATCAGTGTGATAAAAATATTGTGCAACACTCGAACGGCAAAAAATGTAAAATCCCAAACGCTGCACTTCAGTTCAATACGATGCAAAAAAAGAAACCAACAATGCAGCATAGAAGAAGCAGAGTGCGTGCATTCGGCCTATGCTCGTTGCTGTGTGCGTGTGTGTATGTGCGCGCCCGCGCCCGTGTATGAGTCTGCGTGTGAGTGTGTGTGTGTGTGTGTGCGAAATTATGTAAAAAAAAAACAACAATAGGCACATTTGCCTATTGTGAGCTCTGGCGTCGAATTGTTTTGTTGTTGTAGCTATTGCGGTTCGTTGTTTGGCAGCGGTTAAATTGAAAATTAAAACTAATGGCAAATTTAATTAAACAGAGGCGTGCGCGCGGCTAAATGTGTTTAATATTTTAATGTATCGAAAGTCATAAATAAATGATTGCTTATACGTTCCAATTGACTATCGCACTCTCCCAATTACGAAATGCAGCCATGCTCTCAAAATCGCGTCTTATCTCTCTCTCGCGCTGTCTCTGTCACTGGCTCTGTCGCGAGGCTGCAGCAAATGCCAGTGCACGAACATTTTCTTGACGTCAGCAGCGGCGTCGGCGGCGGCCGGTTTTATTTGTTGCTGTTGTTAGCTTCAAAGCGATTGGCAGCACTTTTTTTTTAAGAGTCCTATACCCGTACCCATTCCACAAACGAAATTCCTTAACCATTTGATCTACCTGCCGTTGCCGCTGTCGCCGCCGCAGCCGGCGTCGGCGCTGCGCCTGTGGACACGTCTGCATTAAACGTTGCTGGAAACGCAGAGTATTGGAAATTGCTCTCTTTTCGTTTTGTTGTCGTTTGCTCACAGGCAATTAGGCGAAAAGCAAAGGCAACGAAAACGAAACAAAATTCTCAGTTTCTATTCTTTTTTTTTATATTTATTTTATCTATCTTACCCCATGTTTCGCTGTTGCTTACAACAATAATTATAATAACAGTGGCAAACGGATCAAGCAAAAGCAGCGCAGCAGCAGAAACTGGCAGAACCAGAAAACGCAGCAGCAGCAGCAGCGGCAAGCTCCAACAACAAAATGAGTTGGGGTACTGAGCTATGGGTAAGTTTATTCTTCTTCTTCTCATGTTATTGTTTTTGTATATCCAAAGCAAGCTATTGTAGTTTTTTTTTTTTGTACGTAAAGCTCAAAGTGCAAGCGTGTGTTTTAAGCGTTCTCTTGCGGCTGCTCTCTCGCGCGCGCTCTCCCTCTCTCTCTCTCTCTCTCTTGACCAACAGAACACGACTTAAAAAAAATACTGAAAACTGGTTTTGCGTGTTTTATGTAAATTGCGGCCCGCAAGCGTGGAATTCTACTTGTTGTTGTTGTTGCTGTTGTTGTATTATAATTTTTTATTTTTGGGTCCGTTCCAGGCAGCCGTCAACTGATTTTATTCTTAACTGTTTTTCCATGGCCTCCTGTCGCCATTTGGCACACAGCTGTTTTTTTTTTTTTTTGTTTTTTTAACTCGTTTGCTGACACGCCCGTTTAGCGTCTCACCTGAATACCGCCATCGCCGCCCCCAACGCTGCACGCACTCAAATCTGCTGCTTCAGCTGTGGTTGCGCGGCGTAGATTTTGGGGAGGGGGAGGGGGGTGGTGTCTATCATTTTTAGTTTTTGCTTAACAGTTCGATGCGATTTCTTTTCATTTCTATTCGTTTTTCAATTTCGATTTCAATTTTGGGGGTAGTTTTTGCGACAGCAGCCGGCAGCACACCCTCAAACTCTCTTTATCGATATGTAGGTGTGCGTGTGTGTGTGCGCGTGTGTGTGTGCAGCTGGTAAAGTTGCCATCGCAGCAGCTTTGCTGCTCTCTGCCAGGATAAAATTGCATGTCTAGACGTTCGCAGTCAGATTTATCTACTATTCGCATTCATGCCATGTTTTCGCATTTTGATAGTTTGTCAAGCTTGAACCCAACTAAAAGGGAGTATTTTGTTTGGATTTTGGATTTTGGGTTTAAGGAAGCAATTTGAACTGTGATATAAATATGTACCAGGGCTGCAAACTCAGTCATTTATTACAAGTTCAGTTCAACATCGAGCTTTAGGTTCGGTTCGTGAACTTGTTCTTGCACATTCTTGGCTTAAACCAAAAACGCTAAAAGGGTTAGAGATATTTAAACTAAATAAAAATTGTATTTTCTAATTTGAAATTGTCTTTGCCTTCTTTCACCTTTGCGAGTAAAATTTCCCAATAAATAGTTTTATAATACAAATTGTTTAATGCTCAGTTGTAATGAAGCCTAACGATAATTTCACATTCATTTTAGATTTGATTTCACATTTTTGTTCTGCCAGCCTTTTACGCATTTTTGTTGAGGCATTTTCTCCGAGTCATCCATAAATTGAAAACTCAATCGTTGTTCATTGTTATTGAGAATAAAAATCTGTAGCTACTGTGGCCAATTATTGTTTATTTTTTACCATAAACATTTCAACGTTTGCATAAATAATTTACACGCAAATATTTGGCTGAAAGAAAAGAGTGAAAAAAAAAAAAAATGATTTCTTTTGTTAGAAATAGAAACAAATCGCATTTTGCATGTCATGCATGGAAAGTGTAAGCAGAGTATTAAATACGTTTAATTGATTACGACACGTAAACGAAAATATCGTTATTTATAATGCAAATTGCAAGCTTAAAGCCGGGCTAATAAGCGGGTCAATTGCGAGGCCTGCATAAAAATAGAAATAACTATAAAAATAAAAACCAAACCACGAACTGAAGCCAAAGCCGAAGCCAATTTCAGCGCCAGTCAACTAAAAAAAAAATACAACAAACTTTCTTTGCATTTTTGCTGCGCTTCTTTTTTATTTTATTTTATTTCATTTTTTTTTTGTGAACAAAATTTTCACTTTAATTAAATTTAAAGCACGCGCCGCCGTCTTCAAGTCCATTAAAATCTTGAACCCTTGCATATGCAAAAAGCACGAAAAATTAAATTAAATAAAATTGTAATAAAAACCGTCGTTATTTTTGGTGAATTTCCTTTACATTTCTCTATTTTCTATACTTTTGTTTGGTTCGTTGACGCCCTCGTCTAAACGTTTTCTCTCTCTTTCACACGCACGCTCTAAAAATAGCCGCCTGTCATTTAATAAAGAAAAGAGGGAGGGGTGCGGCGGCGGTCTAGTGGAAAACCTTCCCGCTCTGCGCCGAGTATTTTTATTGCGCTGCTGCGTTTTGTTGTCATTACCTATATAAAGTTTTGGATTAGTGTCAGGAATTTCGAATCGATAAACATTTGTCAGCTCAGGTGTATAAGAAAAACGATAAAATGTCAAGCGTTTCAATATAGACAAAACAAGATTTTAGAGCCAAGGTCACACTTTTAATTACGAAGGTGTAGATATACATATCCTGGCACACTTACTGTGTGGGAAAATTCCATTCATTTTCAAAGATTTACCTATGCATTCCCCCCTGGTGGAAATGAGGCAGAACTAGAAAAGATAGAAAATGTTTAGAAAATTCAATGAAAAGTTGCTCTGATAAGCAAAACCTTTGTATAGATAGATATATTCTCTCATTTTCTAATAGGTTTTTAGTGTAACTTACAATGCAAAAGAAATGCTTGTGCCTTTCATATTTGCACAAGAAGTCATGTGTTTTATTGCGAGTCGAAATTGATTAACTTCCGACTAATAAACCACATAACAATAAAACACCCACTTGAGTCTGGGATCTGCGCTGATATTGTACATCTGTTATATTTAATCTTAGTCAAATCGTAGTTAACTTTTACTTCTTGTTTATAGAACAAAAAAAAAAACCCCGCAATTTCTTGAGTATTTTATCAGCTGCTTTCGTTGTTTATTACAGCTGTTCGCTATCAAGCTTTGATTATTTTTATAAACTCAGATTAAATAATATCATGATTCATTTTATAACGATTATTTCTACTTTTTCTGCCTAATTTTCGAGCATTTCTGTGACTTTTATAGTCTTTTTAGTGTATGAGGTTATCAGCTTGTGCCCATGCTTAGTCAACATTGATGTGCATTTGTGTTATTGTTAATCGATTCGCAGCTTTGTATCTGTTTGTTGTGGCAGGCACTTGTCTCCAGCTGTGCCCCTCCCCCTCTCCCCCTCCGAATGTGTCTCTAACGAGGTCTCTTGTGCGTCGTGCAGCTCCTTCAAACTCTTCCATCGAATCGACTCGATGCTCAAAGCCATTGTCGTCATTTTTGTCTGTTTCAGCTGTTTTTTTGTTTTCTAGAGATTTCGTGTTTTCGAAGTTTTTCAATAGGTTTTCTTGACACTGAAATCGAATGCAATTAGCTAAAACTTAACTGGACTGCGTGTTGTTTTTAACGATTTTTAGCTGTTTAATGACACGTGTATTTCAAGCTAAAAATAAACTCTAGACAACAACAGTTTTTATGGACATTTCGAATGACACACATGTATCGTAAAGTCTTAAAAAAAGCGTCAAGAACTCGGGCTCGTATATTTTTTAACAGTACCAATTACTGTTTGCAGTCGGATCGTTAATTTAGCTAACGTGTGCGCCATAATTAAAATTCTGGCACTCAACCCCCTCCCGACACACACACCCCACACAACACTTGCGACCCCATCGCTGCAGCTGCCAATTAAGGCACAAGACGTGGTCAGGGGGGGAGGGGCACCGGCGGCGACTTATGCGCTCAAGGCCAAGTTGTCAAGCAACGCATTTCGATTGCAGATTAGACACAATTTCTTTGGGGTCGCACCCTAAGTGCAAATCTCCTTTGTTGAACATCCCATCGATTTGGCAGCAGCAGACCTTCAGACCAAGCTGGAGGGCAGCTTCTTGGCGCCAGTCTGCAGCGGAAAATTCGCAACACGCTTGTGCGTGGCATTCGGCCAGGACTTTCGCCTTGGGACTTGCAAGGATATGGCATACGAGCCATGCGCGTGGTGGTTGCAAAAATGCTCGATGATTTCATTGCATCCGGCGGGTTTTCCTTGACATTTCTCTCATTTATTTATTTTTATTTTTACTTTTTGGTAGATTTAAGACGCAATTCATGTTGTCCAAGGGGTAGAAATATATTATTAGATTTTACGCAAGTAACAACATCCCATGAAAATGGGCAAAGGAAATCATAAAGATTACAATATATTTTAAGATTGCGTAGGCGGGATTTTTCGATAATTTTTGATACCTATCGAAGCAGCATTTTAAGTTGCGATCTATATCTAGATAGTACCTGTGTAAAAAGACAATGTATAGCAAATACTCTTTATCTTCCTCTCTCTCTGTCTATCTGTCTCTTCGCTCTCTCGCTCTTCTCGAGCTGCGTTCGATGTTTATCTTTTAGTCTATAATAATTGCGAATTCCGCTCACATTCTCCAAGTGCATTGTAAAATAAACTGAGCAGTTGTTGTTGCATTCGAGTTGCTGCTGCTTTGTGGTGTCTGCTGTCTGTTGTCTATTGATTTCAGTAGCCTTCAGGCTTTAGCTTGTGCTGTATGCATATTAAGCAGCTGCCGCTGTGTCTGCCACTGTCTCTTTATCTATCTCTTTCGCTGTGTATCCATCAGATACATTTGGCCAAGGTGCTTCATATGCAAATGGTGACCGTTGCCATTCAAAATTGCGCCGGCGCCTGCCTTTGCTCTTGCGTCAACACACATTCCTATATGGTTATATAGTATGCCATGTACTTGCACTCGTATAGCATATTTGTGGTAAAACATTGATAAGCCAAGACGTTCTGGACATCGCATTTGCATATAAGTAAATATATGTAAACTTTTTAATATATATGTATATCAATTGTTCTTTTAAAGAGCACGCATTTCCTTTGCCAGTTATCGCTTGACCAACTTTTTTCGAGGCAGCGATAAAGGCGTAACAAATTGAAAACAAATTAAATGAAAACAATAAACAAATATTTCAACACAATTTTTGGCGCTTGAAATTACTTTTTGCCCAGCCATTCATTTGCAACTGATAAACAAACAATTTGAATGCAGCGAATGTTTTTTATACCCTGTTTTCATTAAAAATGTGTGAAAAGGGTAACATAAAGTTGTGCAAATATATGTAACAGACAATAGACATGTCT